TTTTGTAAGTATGTTTTGGGTTTGATTTTATTTAGGGAAATTTTTGGGAAATTGAAAAATAGACGAGACTTATTATTTTTAGGCAAGAAATAGGACGGTTCCTGAGTTAAAAACTAAACATTATTGGGTTTCCGCTAAAACCCAGTAATGTATCTAGGTTTTTTATCACCCTGACCGTATTTTTATCATCGAGCCCAAAATTGTGGTCAAGTTTATGTGAGGATCCAACTAATTATCACAATTTTAGAATTGAATTAGTTACTAGAACGATGTACAATACTATATAAATCTATTAAGGGATTGTGAATAAAAATAAGAATTCTGAAAAAATGTGTTTAGTAAGTATTTTACAATGAGAATTTTCGTTTCTTGCATAATCAAAATTCCGTCAAATGAGGTGAAATGAATTCTATTCTATAAATTGATTTGATGGTTAGTATATTACTTTGTATTATTTAGTAAATAAACAAATTATATTATAATAACAAAAGTCATAAATATTAATATTATAACTTAATTATATAATATATTCTATACATACAAAAATAAATAATAAATATATTGCATAACATAATATATTATACATACGTATATGTAAAGTAAAATTTAATTCTTTAAGATTAAAATATAAAGTTTTATTTTTTTTAGCTTTTAGTATATTTCTAATATATTAGAAATCAAAAGTTATTAAAGTTTAAAATATTTTAACGAAGAGTATTTTTGTTTTTTAACAATTTTTTTTATTTTCTTTTTCACTTCTATCAAACAAAACAAATATACTTGGGATGGTAATATTTGAGTTTCCTATTACTGAAAAATTAGTTTTTCATTCATTCAATTAGTGTATTGCAGAAAGAGTTTTGAATGAGATAACAAATCTAGATTAAAATTTAATATTTAACAAAATAGGTTGACTAAGATAATTTAGGATAATCCATCTTCTATACTAGCATGGGTTATAGAATGCATTTATTTAATTTTTTTAATAAAAAAACATTTTAATTAAAAAAGTGTTTCTAAAATATTTTAGAGTATTTATATAAAATTTCAAAAATAACAAAATAAAAAATTAGATTTTCTATTATTTCCAATATTACGAAGAGTAATTTTTTAAAAATAACTCAAAATTTTCCTTTTTTTAAGTGAAAAAGTGTCTTTCATAATTGTATCCAAATGCGAGATAATTTATTTTTTATTATATTTTTTTATTAAAAAATTGTATTTTAAATTTTTTCAAAAGGAACCCATAATTATAAAATTCACGTGATAAGCCTGTTGGAGTAAGTGATTGCCACAATTATCAAAATGCCAAACTAGTTTGTTCCCTTAGTTTGACCTGCTTTCGGTGGAATAACAATAAACAAGGTTGCCTAGGCTTCACTCTGAGAAAACTATAGAGAACAAGGCCCTCTTTCTATCTGACCCATCGAGAATTAAACATCTAACAATGTACCTTTTGAAATTAGGATCCAAAATCTCGTAGTGATGAGACTTGTTTATAGTTGAACTTTCCCGGAAAATTCTAAATGGAAAGGAAAATTCTAAAACTCCATCCTACTTGCCCTTCAAGAAACAGCTACCTGCAAATCCGTTGGCTACCCTTCCTAGTCCTTAGTCGTGGTTTCCAATCTTCTGTGCCCACCTTCCCAAGCAAAGGGGTTGAATTTCGGACTGGCATTGAGATTTTTCAATAAAAAGAAAAATTAAATTATATATATAAAAAATCAGTATAAATATAAAATATTTATATTGACGTATTTAATTTTATCAAATTCAATAAATAATAATAATTACAGCCATTTTCTATAATTTTTTTTAAATATTAATTAATCAATTAATTTTAGTTAAATCAATAACATAACATTTGACATATATGTTTTTATACTTATATTAATATCATTTAATTTTTTTGTGCTAAAAATAATTTATTTTTGGAAGTAAAAAAATATTATAAATAACATAAATTACATATAAAATAGGAAATAATTGACTTTTATATATTGTGTGTAGATTTTTTTGTACTAATTTAAAAGCTTAATTGACTCTTTCATGGGTTGGAAAGTTAGCAATTTAGTCTAACTTTTTTTGCTATTACAAAAGTTCAAAAAATTAAATATTTTTCTCTTACTACTTGCTTGTATTTACTATTATTTGTGAGAAATTAGGAATAACAAATTTAAATTCGTGAAGTTAATGGTGAGCTTTATGGGTCAGGATAAAAATAAATAAATTTGTAGAATTATTTATAAAGATTATATTTATATTTAAATTATATTTGAATAATTATAAAGTTATGTAGAATGTATGTAATTGAGCAAAACAGGAAGGAGCGGTAATGTTATAAAAAATGTAATATTGTAAAATACCTAGGTCATGATATTATTACTTTTTTTATTCAATACCTCATTTAATAAACAAAAAAGAAATATTTTTGATTTTAATTTCAAACTAATAATTAGTTGTCGCATTTTCTTTTTTTATTTTTCAAATATTAAATATAAGAGATGGAGAAAAATAGTCTAATCTCCACTTCGTTTTCCAACGAAAAACGCCGTAGTACCCAGATTTAAGGCTGCTTGTATTTTCGCCAGTAGGAAAAGGAAGAACATTTGCCGATGCTAACGTGCGCACTGCGTGGCTTGCTGGATCCTCCTCCGCGACGACTCTCCGATAAATAGCACACAGGCGGCCCGCTATTCCCCGAGTACATGTAAACCCTATTTTGTAAAGCTCTAAATCGCAAATTCGCAATCTTACTGTTCAAAATTTCAATCTCTTTACTCTTCCTGTAACAATGTCTGAAGAATCGCAAGCTCCTTCCATGGAGCAAAACCAGCAGCAGCTTGAGGACTCGACCGCCGGCGCTCCTCAGAGCAAGAAGGCCGCGAAGAAGGAAGCCGCCAAGCTCGAGAAGCAGCGCCGCCGTGAAGAACGGTCCGCTGCAGCTGGCGCTTCGGCCGACGACTCTGACCCCCTCGCCGCCAACTACGGTGACGTGCCGCTTCATGACCTCCAGTCGAAGGCCGTCACCGGCCGCAAGTGGACTCAGATTGGTGACTTGACTGCGGAGTTGAAGGATCAAGAAGTGTTGGTGAGGGGCCGAGCGCAGACGATCCGCGCCGTCAGCAAGAAGATGGCCTTCCTGGTGATTCGAGAGAAGGGGTTCACTGTGCAGTGCGTGCTCTCCGTTGCGCCGGAGCTTGTGAGTCCCCAAATGGTGAAATTCGCGACGGGATTGAGTAGAGAGTCGTATGTTGATATCGAAGGAATCGTCTCTGTCCCCAAGGAGTCCATTAAGGGTGCTTCCCAGCAGGTATAGAATGCATATTTGTTCGTGCGTGTATAAGTCATGCATATACTCTTGATATGTCTCTCTACCCACGCGTTTCCTGTCTATTTTGCACGGAAATGAAGAGTTTATTGCAAATTGTATGTTCTTGATGTTTTTCTGTAGTGGATAATATCTGTCCATTCTAATGGATCAAGATAGTTAAATTCATAGGTTGAAGCTTGAGCCTTTGATAATCATGTTATGGAATGGTGAAAGAATTAATTTTTAACTTTATGGACATTGCTTTTGGTATTTTTAATATTTGAATTAGTTAGGGAGTATTGTTTTCATAAGCTCGATTAAGTGCATAGTTTTGGGAATTAAAAATTTGGGAATAACGCGAGTGCTATTTTTGATGTCAATGTTTATGGATTCAATGCAGGTGGAAATTCAAATAAGAAAGCTTTACTGCATCAGCAAGGCGCTGCCTACCTTGCCAATTAATATTGAGGATGCTGCCCGCAGTGAAGTAGAAATAGAAAAAGCTTTACAGGTATGCTTCTACCAACATGTATCTGAAATTAAAATATTTTTATTCTTGGGTTCGTAATTTGACAATGTGCACTTATTTTGTTAAATAAGCTTAAAAAAAAACTCTTCTATTGTTGAAAAAAATATGACTGGAATGGTGGATATTGATTGGCCTCACGGTTGATGCAGCTGGGGAACAGCTCGTACGAGTTAATCAGGATACGCGTTTGAATTTCAGGTTCTTGACCTGCGCACACCTGCTAACCAGGGAATTTTTCGCATCCAGTGTCAAGTTGAAAATGTAGAGTCCATGTTTTGGTTTACTGGGTTTTTTTACATATATCTTTCCTTTATAAAACTTACTTTTTTCAACATGAAATCGTTCCGTAAGAAGATTAGATTCTTTTGCCACAAATGACTTATTTCATCTTTATGGTACAAAGGTTATATTGGTTACGACAGTTAGGCATTGCATCAGAATCATTAAGTGATAAAGGGTTTAAGTTGGATGTGGGGTGGGTCTCAAGTGCTACTGTTTACATAAGAAGTAAAGGAATGAAGTGTTGTCAATCTATTCTTGAAATAATGGACTGCAATGGATGTCAGATATCAACAGTTATTTTGAGGAGCAGAGCCGATGGCTTTAGTAGTTTATGATTATACAGAGCTTTAAGGGTAAAGGCAGCTTTTTGCTATCAAAAATTTATATGATTTGTAAAAGGAGTCATCAAAAATTTGTTCGGATTCAAAGTAAAATTGTTATTAAAATTAAAAATTTGGGGTATTTCAGGTCTTACACATTCAGGTAATTAGAGTTTTAATGATTAGATTGAGGGCTAATTTTTGGTAATCGGGTTTGAGGCTGACTTCAACATGATTAGTCCGAAAAACTTTGGGGTTGAAAAATCACTTCTGGAGCTGTAGATTGTTATCAAAGTAGTTGTTTGGAATGATGAACAAGTACAAGAGAAGTTTGTTGTCACTTGGTGCTAGGATAAAGTGGAAAGATGAAAAGGTAAGAGGTGACAATGAGAGGACAGGTAGTCATTCTATCTCACAATAGCATGGAAGATGGGGAGATAAAAGAATTAAGGAGAGGACCCTCCAATTAAACACACAAGTTCTGCAAAATTACAGCAATGAATTTCAACAATTAATACAACTAATTTACCATTTAATATTGTAAGGTATGATACAAGAACTTGTTTCTGTTCATTCCTGTTATCCTTCTCCTTAGCTAAACTAGAAGAAAATAAATTTAGTTCATTCATTAGTTATCTAAATTATCTTCTTTATTCCCTCTTTTTATCGATTGTTTTCCCTCTTCTCCATCTTTCCTTCCAGTTCCCTTCAGAAGCAACTTGATCAGGTTGTACAATGTGCACCAAATACAGTTTTAGGCTTAACCCATGATCTCTAAACTAAACTCCAATTGATTATCAGTTTCTATTATGAAAATTCACAAAGATTTCAAACTAACGACAGATATGCCAAATACTTGATCTCTTCCAAATAAAAGTTATTTTTATTATATTTACAAACTAAGCCACAAGTTTTTTCCTGATCCCCCGAGGATTAATACTTGCATGTAAAAGAACCTTCTCTTACTTACTTAGATGTCGTATCGACTTGTATAACATCCAAACCTAATACAACCACAAGTGCGCACACATGTACACTCACATAAGTAGAACTGTAGAAGTGCCCCACGTGGCATCTGAAAATAGGAAGCACCTCTGTAAGAAAGAAAACTAAAAATTCTTAATTAGACAATTAATGATATAATCTTTGTAAAGGATTGAGGATTGAAAACAAAAATTAAATTTAAAAAAGAAAACTAAATTATGCCTATCAGATAAGAGTTCCAGTAGAAAAAAATTCTCTTAGCTAAATATAAATAGCTATTTGGTTTTTATTAATAAATATTCCAGCAAACTCTCCCACATCTAAATAATAGTATTATAGCCTAGTTCACATTAGTAAAATGTTTAACTAATTTTTTAAAATTAAATATTTAGTGACTATACACTTGGACGTGTATGTGTGTGTGTGTCTATATATATATAATATATAATATATTCATGGTAATTATATGACCACAAAAGAGAATATAGAGAGATTGAGTAAGGGAGTGAATCTTACATATCTTACCATGATAATTTTTTAAAAAATTAATAATTTGAAAATAATGAGATTGCTTCAATTTTATTTAGAGGAATATGCGTGTATTTTCATTTTAATTTTTATTATGTCACATGCATTGCATGGGGTACAAGCTAGTAAACTAGTGAATGATTAGGTTAGCTATTTCAACTCATAATCATTGTTTTCAAATTCATTGTTGTTTGTTGGTTCTTGATATTGTTAATATTGTTGAAGACCTGATATTGTAGGCTAGTTCAACATGACAATGATCTTTGTTGTTCTCTGTGTGCGCACGCGCGCGCATGCACGTATACACATTGACACGCATATTCATATAAACTTGAGTACATGCTTGGAACTTCTTTCTATCTGGTTCTTTCAAACTGGTTTTGATAGATTTTTTTTTTATCATATGAACAATTCTCGATCTTAACTAAGTTAGGCTGTTTTGTAGACATTCAGGCAATTCTTGCTATCTGAAGGCTTTGTCGGGATTCATACTCCAAAGTTGATAGCAGGCGCCAGTGAGGGTGGCGCAGCTGTGTTCAAGCTAGACTATAAAGGGCAACGGGCATGTCTGGCACAGTCACCTCAGCTTCACAAGCAAATGGCAATTTGTGGTGATTTTGGCGGTGTTTTTGAGATAGGTCCAGTTTTCCGGGCTGAGGACTCTTATACACATAGACACTTGTGTGAATTCACTGGTCTTGATGTTGAAATGGAGATAAAGGAGCATTATTCTGAGGTAGAGTTGAATTCTTTGCTTTATAATATTTGCAGGCTACCAATTAATAATGCAACTATCTGTGGTATTAAAATGCTCCAATATCTTTGAACAGGTGATGGATATTGTGGATCGGTTATTTGTTGCAATGTTTGATAGTTTAAATGAGAAATGCCAGAAAGAGCTGGAAGCCATTGGAAAACAGTATCCATTTGAACCTTTGAAGGTCCTAATATTCTTTTTTCAGTTTGGTTGAAAACACTGTTGACTATGTTATTGAAGTATTTCTGAATTATATTGCTATTTATTAGAATAGTTTTAAAGAAAGAAGTACACATATTCAGTATTTAACTTTTATAAATTTGTTTTTTGGTATTGATATTTTGACGTTGACTGTATAATGTACATGCAGTACTTAAGAAAGACTTAACGGCTTACATTTCAAGAGGGGGTGCAAATGCTAAAGGTGATCCCCCTGTCTCTCTCTCCTTTCTCTCTCCATTGTACTAAATGCATAATTTCTGAAATGGATTTAAGAGTTGATGAGAAGTTTGTGCATATAGTGCACGCCCTTTTCTTCTTTCTTCCCTGGAGGCATGTTTATACCCTTCTTAGTCAAAATATATATATTGCTACGTATTTATGAAAATACAAAATTTAAATGTTGAACTAGAAACTAAAAGTGGACAACCTTGTATTTTCCAGTAAAAGCACATGGCAAAATATAGGAAACAAAATCTGAAGGAACAAGTCTTGAAAGTATACTTATGTGAATATTGATAATGCTCACTACTTGTGGAGGAGTGCAGTGCATCTATTAACTAAATGAGAGAGTTTGAACTGATTGAATTTCAAATAGAAAGTAGGGAAATTTGGCTGTGGCTTCATTACAGTTTCTCTAAATTATGAATATAGTCATCAAATAAGCAAAAGGAAATTTCAGGTTTCTTCTGATTGATTGGGCAACTTATTGCTGTTCATAAAGTATGCATGGGTGCATAAACATTGGCAAAATTCCAACTCATTTTGTCATCAGTGCTTATCTTTATTTCTCAGTGAAATTGATCCCAAATTTTAAAATATTATGATTTACCTATCTCCTCCTTACACCTGCACATGAAATTCTTTGGGTGAAGACCATGTCAAAATTGAAGGCCTTTTGAAAGGCGTTGACAGAATTCATTAAATTTAAGAATTTAAGTGTTGTTGCATGATATACATATTGGGGCCATGGGATTTTTTATAGATGGGTTTGGAATCTTTTTAAAGGAACTACAAATATAACATAGACCTTTAATTTAAAATAGTTGAACTGTCAAAGTTACAGTTTTATACCTGCAACCATTGGGTAAGGTGTCAATGTGCAATTGAAACTTGAATCCCGATCTTTGTGGCTACAAGAAGGTATTCAGTTATAGAAGATCTTAACTTACCATAACTTGGTTAAACATGAATTTGCTGCATTCTGCTGATTGGAAACATCTTCTTTTTTATACGGGACTTGGTTTTGCAGGAAGCTGGTGTTGAAGTGGATCCTCTAGGGGACCTGAACACAGAGTCAGAGAGAAAGCTTGGACAGCTTGTTTTGGAAAAGTAATTTGGCTTTCTCTTGCCTATATATCAAGTTCTTTTTCTTTTAATTTCTCTCTCTGTTAACCTTCCATTTAGTTGGATACGTAGGCAACAAACTGTTTTCAACTTTCTGCTGGATGCAGATATGGCACTGAGTTCTACATACTCCATCGCTATCCCTTGGCCATCCGTCCATTCTATACCATGCCTTGTGCTGATGATCCTTTGTATAGCAATTCTTTTGATGTCTTCATCCGAGGCAAGCATTTGGTTATTTCATTCAAATGTCATACCTACATTACCTCTTTTTCTCGAGTTCTCTTTTGCCATTTTCCTGTAACCCCTTGCTTGAGATGAATGCAGTTTTATAGTAAACTGCTAGTGTATTTGTTCCCATTTGTGGTTATTACAAACTTGCAAGTAAATTGATGCATGATGGAACAATTAAACTCCCTGAACTGGTGGTTTTTTGATTTTATCTATGTTGTCCCTTCTATTAGCAAATATTTAGTGTTTAAAAGCTTTCTGCACTTAAGCTGTTTGGTAAGTGGGAGATGGAACACTCATTATGTAACGGGGAGAGTGAACATTCATTACAATTAGTGAAACAGTTTTAAAGCATAAGATAAAGTAGAGAAAATCTCTGTCAAACCTTGGGCTTTCCATGTCTGAGATTTTTTTGCCATGTTGTTAATAGACATGAACTATAGGTGTGTATCCTTTCCTTGGGCTGCTCTATGCATGACATGTTTTTTTAAAGGTGAGGATGGCTTCGTCAAAGTAAAAGATAATGGTTACTTTCCAGTCCTTTGTACATTTTTGTAGATATCCTTGTGGACAGTTGGTCATTTACATTGATGTTATTTGGAGGTGCATTTTAGAGACATGGTTGACGTTTAAGATTCAGTCGGTTGTAGGGGTGCCCTAGTGGTGGTAGACATAAATGTCCATGGGGGACTGTATTAATGACCTTTCTTAAAAGGTAGAGGCAAGTGTGAATATTTTGTGTAGATGTGTCTGTATTCAAATGCCAGTTCCTGAGGGCTGTATTTCATGTCTTTCAACTGCCTATATGAAGCATTTATTGAGATTCCAGCACCTCAAACTTGGAGTTCATATATTCATGTAGATTTTCCATGAATTTAACCTACATCCTTGATGGTTCGAGTAGTTGATGTTTCTCTATGTACAGCATTTGCTTAATTTTGTTCTCATGTTACATATACTAGTTATCGTGTTCTTTAGAATTTATTCTCTCCTTTGTTCTTTATATATAATATACTTTCTTTTGAAATATATGAAAAACCTGTACCAAAAGTAAATGAGAAGTACTTTCTAAATCATTTTTCTATGGATTTGCAATAGTAAGCTGACTTGTTTATGTATGCCTGTCTTCAGGGGAAGAAATAATTTCAGGAGCTCAGCGTGTCCATGTGCCTGAATTTTTGACAACACGTGCAGAATCTTTGGGAATTGATGTCAAAACAATTTCCACATATATTGATTCCTTCAGGTATTTTTGCATTGGCTGTTTTGTCACTTTTTCAGGTACTTCGTGCTTAAAAAATGATGTGCCTTCCTTTCTTGTGCTAGCTACTCATCCTCGCCTGTAAGAATAAATATTGATGTCAGTTGGTATTGTCTCATTATCATATTAACAAATCAAAGTTGAAGTGGCTTACTTAATGTTTCTTTGCTTTTAACTTAATATGGTTGTCTCTACCACAATTTGATATTTGAATTTGCTTTTGCTATCAAAGAATTATACCGATCATTGAATTTGAAAAACAAGTTTGGTTTGTTCACATGCACGCTTGGGTGCTTATAATTTGAAGTTGATCTCCATTGTCTTTGCAGCCAAACATAGAATTCAGTTCTTTAACCTAATGCATTGAAGCTTTTGTTTTTTGTCCTTGGAATTCATCCTATTATATGATATGGTGGGGTTTCTTGGAACAATGTTATGAAAACTCACAAATCTGCAGGCGGTAGTGTCAACCTTGTTAGGTACTCTAAAGAAGTTTGTACCCTAATCATTGTTACCTAAACATGATGTTGTAGATGATGACACTAATTCCTGATGATTAAGAAATCCTCTATAATTAAAGTTGATCCTTTTTCCACCATAATTTTCAGCTGTCTAATTTGTCAAATGACCTCTTTAGTGCACTTCATGATTCTCAAATTTGACTGAATATATGGAAGAGGAGTTACATTATTTTCCATAATTGATTACTTGGAATGTTCTTATGATGCATGTAGTCTGATTAATCTGTCAACTATTCTGCAGGTATGGTGCACCGCCACATGGAGGATTTGGAGTGGGGTTGGAGCGTGTTGTCATGCTCTTTTGTGCCCTGAACAACATCCGCAAAACATCTCTTTTTCCTCGTGACCCTCTCAGGCTTGCTCCATAGACATTTTATGCCATTGCAATCAGCCTAAGCCTTCTTCACTGAGATAGTTTCTCGGATGTTATTTAATCTTGTTTTAAATGATTTACCTGTTAAATATAACAACTATCGGATAAAATAACTTACTCTCACGCCCAAAGTTGTTCACGTTGGATATATTATTGGTACACAAGCATATGTTAATCCATTTTTTGTTTTGGGCCAAAATGCCCGTCTCAGAGGGCTCACCGGGTCAGACGTCATATTGCATGGTTTGATTGTGAATGGACTTTTGTCTGTTTACGTTGCTGTTTTTTACACAATTTTTTTATTTTAATTAAAAATAGTTAAAAATATAAATATGAAATATTTATTTTTTGTAATCAATAACATAGTTATAAATAATTAAAATTTTTGTTAGTCAAATATATTTTAATATTTTCATTATAATTTTATTTTAGTCATATGCAAATTAATAAATGTATTATTGTATGTTTATTTGTTTTAGTTAAATTAAATTTAAATTAGAATTTAAGAATAACTAAGATTATATTTTTATATTTAGAGTAAAATTATATTGAAAATAAAAATGTCAAGAATTATATTTTAAAAATTCATAATAATTTACATAAATATTAAAATTATTAATAGTTTATTTATTTTCATCATAATAACATCAAAATTATGTTTATAATTCAAGAAAGTTTATTTTATGATATATATTATTTTTTAAAAGAATAGATAATTTAGGCATTGTAATATAATAAATAATTATTATAAGTATTTTATAAACTATTAATTTATGAACTTTTACTATATTTTAATAGAATTTGTAAATATTTTAAGTATTTTTTTAAAAGTAACAATTCATACAAATAGATCTTTGGAGTTATGTGGTCACAATGCAAAATAAAACTCACAACTACTTCAACGAAATTGTAGGCAAACCGTGAAGGACGTCAGAGGTAAAATTTGAGATGGGCAGTAATGTTGTTAACGTTTAGTTTACTTTCGCGGCCAATGGTGACTAATAAGTGAGTTTCATTTTAATTCCATCTTTATCCTTTCAAATTTAATAATTTGCATTAATTAATTAATTAATTAATTATACGGCATCTCGTCATTATTTATTTTTGTTATAACTATGGACCTAACCCACCACTTTTGTCTTTCTAAAATTCTCCCTTACCAGTCAAGGGTCATAGTTATCCGGTGGAGAAACAAACTCTTGGGAAGAAGTAAAATATAAGCTTTTGATATTTGCATTCTTTGCCTTTTAAATTTGAAAATATAGATAGCTAAAACTTCGGAAATCAATCTATATCAAATTTTTGTAGAATCCTTAAAACAGTTGAACTTTATCAAAACCATAGGATAAGTGGAAAAATTGAACCCACCACTCAGAGGTTTGTAACAATTAAGGTTAATATCCTTCACGCACTAACAGATTCTAGAATTTGACTATAAAGTTAAGTATACATAAAAAATTTAGTTAATATATTATAGTTATACGTTATGTTTATTTTTGTACAAAGAGAGTATTCTTAATTTTTTTTAATAAGAAATAACAAAATATTTCAAAATATTTTTTTAACCATATCATAAAAGAATCTGATTTTTTTTTTTTTTTTAAAATGTATAAACAATCAGCCTATCAAAATAAGAACAAGATAAAAAAATAAAATAGAAGAAGTTGTAGCAAGTGCCTTCAAATTTATAAGTTTTTATTGAGATGGAAATTGAAAAAATAGAACAAATTGCAAATAGAATATGTGTAGAATAATCTAATAGTGAAATAATTAATTTTTTTTTTGGCAATGAATTAGAAAACAAGTCTATTTCAAATCGAAAAATGAGATAAATATTTCAAAAATATAAAATTACGTATGTAATATTTACTATACACATATATCAGGATTATTAAAATAATTTTTTTATTTAGTATCTTATTTTTTTGATAAGAAAGCACTCTTAATTTAATTTGCCAGAACGTAGATTTCCAAATACAACGTTGTGATTTAAAATTCTATAAAGTATAATTTTATTTTTTTAGAGATCAAATTAGATAACAAAAACTTTATTAAATTATTAGTTATGCGAAGAAGTGAATAGTACGTGGACTAGTATTTTGATGTAATTATTATATTTTAACTATAGATATTCATGAGTATTTTAAACTAATCTCTTGATATTACTCTTTTTTTATTTTAAAATATTAATTAATTTTCCTCTCTAAATTATTTAGAAATTACACCAACTATTTCCGAACTATACAAAGTACAACATGCTCTCCCTTATCTTAAATGTCACACTAGTTTTTTTTTTCTCGTGACTTCATCAAAAATATTTAACAAAATGCCAAATTTATCCTTGTGAATTATTTTTCAAAATTTTTGAAAAATAAGTCTTGAAACATTTGACGGAAGACAGACGAATGAAACTACTCAAACGGCAAAAGCCTTGTCAATTAACTCCTTGTACCGTTAGTTGACGTGACAGACTATGACATGCCTATGATTTCTAAAATTGGGTGAAATTTCTGTAATTTTAATAAATATGAGGGACGGTTAGTGTAATTACCTTTATTTATTCTGAGAGGCGGGGGCGAGGGATGGGAGAGAAAACCCAAGCGCAACGCAGAGGTTATTCCGTTGCTTTCAAGCCGTTTCTCGGGTATTCTACTCGTTTCTACACCTATTAAACGCAGTGTCGCGCGCGAGTTTGCATTTATATGAACCCACCGGAGTTCTGCAGGTGTTGAAGGTTTTAACGTCTGACTACAAACCCTAGCTTGGCATCGAACTTTGCCTGTTCGCGGGAAACGTAACAATGGAGACGAACAAAGACTCGATTGTGGATGTAAGATCAGTTGCTGAAGCTATCTCTGTAGACGACTCTGATACCCCGCTTTACCAGGTCGAAAGTCTTTGTATGCGTTGCAGGGAAAACGTATGCTCTCTCTCTCTCTGTATAAGTTGACCAGACGTTTGGATTCTTATTGCATATTCGGGAAGCTCATTGCGGAGGGGTTAGCGGGCATTGGAAACACTTAGACTTGTAAATTGAATACTTACAAGTTGAATGTGTTGTCTTACACACGTGTGAGCGTCCTTTTTTTGTGTTTTTCTGGTTGTTTGAAGCGTGTCTAGTTCGAAAAGGATTGAAAAAACAACAGCACGCAATAATTGCACGTTTAGGGGCACGCTTCGGTTGTTGTTATGGTGACTCTCCCCCCAAAATAGAAAAGAAAAATGCGGGTAAAATTTTTTGTCTTGTACCCATAGTGTGCATAAATTTGTTGAAAAAATAGGCAATTACTCCTTATCCTCCTCGAATTAGGGTGGGGCATTTGGTTTAACCAAACTGGTTTTTTGTAAATTGAAGCATTGAACTTAGCCAGAATTAGTGTATAACTCAAAGAAACTGAACTGAATTATGATTCTGGAAAAGGTGAACCAATTATAGATTGCTTTAGTTTATTTGGATCTAGTTTGGTTATTGTTTCATCCAGAGCAAACAACGTCTTTGCAACTAAAGAATTTCTATATAATAATGGGGTGAAAACCTCCAACCAGAACTCTTATTGGTTTCCAGGTTTGTTTATTCATAGAGGTTCAATTAGATAGTGCATGCTTTTGCCTCAGAGATTAGAGGTTTAAATGTATTGATTTATCTATTTAATGTTTGATGTCCAATACAAATATTGTTGACACCTTTGTTAGCACACGTGCCTCTTATGGTGCTGGAAGTTATTATTACGCATATCATAATGCATACCTTACCAGCATTTTATGTATCAATGTTGGCATAATGTGGTATCAATCTCTCCCTTTTTGTTATGCATGAAGGATTTAAGTTACTAATATAGCTGCTTTCCTTCTACTCTTGTGTCCATACGTGTCCAAGTGCATGCTTGTGTTTGCACATTTTATCTAAATAGGGAGTTGCATGTATCAATGATGCTAGGTGTTTCATTCTATTGGTTTGTAACAAGTTTTTTAGATTGTGCTTTTTTTTCCTTCTATTCGTTTTTTTTTTTTGGCTCTCTTTCCTTACCTGAGTGTTATTCATTGTGTTATCTACCCATGTGTATGTATGCTACAAGCCCACATGTATACTGGACCAAGATTCTAATGGAAAATGTAGCAGGTTTATAAATTTATTTTTCATTTAGAAATGATGAGAGATTGGTAATGATTTGTTGAACTTGTTGATGTGATGGTGTTGACAGGGGATAACAAGGTTTTTATTAACTCTAATTCCGCACTTCAGAAAGGTATGTATCTATCATATTTTGTAATATTGCTTGTATGGTTTGATATCAATTTCATTATCACTGCTATATAGCTTGACATTATTTAAAAGTTTCCAATACATTATGCTTTGAAAAGCTATCCTAGAATTACTGTATTTGCTTGTCTTGAGCTTATGATAATATTATAGAAGGCATCTTTCTCAAGTAAAATATTCTCTCATTTGCAGATTTTGTTGTCAGCTTTTGAGTGTCCACATTGTGGTGAGAGGTAGCTTATTTCTATTCTTTTGCGGACTTTGAAAGTCTTTGTTATGTTGGTGCCACTATTTTGATATTAAGTACTTATACTATATGTCCTGTCTGTCTTAGGAACAATGAAGTGCAGTTTGCTGGTGAGCTCCAGCCGCAAGGATGTTATTACCAATTGGAATTTGCATCGGGGGATCAAAAGGTTGTCTCAACTAGAACATGCTTTTGGAAAAACATATTCCCCCTCCTCCCTCACCCTCCTCCCCCCTACAGCACACCCATCCACACACATTTCCTCTATATCAAAATAGTTTTTGTAAATCAAAAGATGCTTTTAAGTTAAACTAATGGTTACCAGTCAACACATAATATAGCATTTTCTCTTCGAGAGATGAGAATTTAAATGAAAGTTAATCTCCTTGTGCCTATAATACAATACTACTTTTTTTAATATTTTTAAAAGAATTCTGAAAACAAATTCTATATTATTTTCTAAGAAAGGAGCCTATATTTTGTAAAAACAACTTTCCAAAACTGGTTTTAGTTTTAAAAACCAGATAAGCATTTTCTAGAAACATGTGTAAATAGACCCATCTATTATTGCCAGTATATATTCTCTCAGCAATGCAAATTTATAAGGATTTAAGCCTCTTTCATTTATACTGATTTAATCATGAAATGCAGATGCTCAATCGTCAAGTGGTGAAATCTGAGACAGCCACTATAAAGGTAGCTTATCGGGTTGAACTACTAAATGGTCTATTTTTAAATGTCTGTAATTTCTTATTTTAACTTGATATCAGCTTTCTTTTGGTCCAAAAGTTCAAATAAGGAGTGTACTGTGGCTGATCTATGCATATGTGCAGTTGTGCACACAGATATATTGGTTCCTACCAATTTAGTTTTAGCACTGTTTGAATATAAAGCCAGCATAGGATTGGTGAAATGAATAATCAGATGTTCAACTTTTATCAATTGGCATGAACTTCTTTGTCAATATATATCACACATGATGGCTTAATATTCAGAAAAAGGCCTCCTAAGGATTTATTGTCATTACATTTGAATATGTGTGAAGTATGATTATCATTCTCTTCTTTATGGCGAGTCCCATATATTTATACCAGAGGCATTTTTTCCCCAATTAACCAATATAGTTTGATCCTGAGACATTACTTAGATATAGTGAAGCCTGTATCTTCTGTCAACTATAGGAGCCATTTCATAGGGCTGACTCTGATATCCATACTTTCTGTAAGCTTGGATTAGATCTTGAAGTGGGTACTGTTTAGGATATCATCATTAGTAATAGAATACTGTGTACTTGTGGAAAGAAAAATGTTTGTGGTAATATTTGCATACATAGTAGATGCTATTTAAGAAAGGATGGAAATGTCAAAAAATGTGGAGAATATTTATATCTTTAGTGGAAAATGACATCTTCTATCACATTATTATTAGTAATAATAATTAGGAGACAAATGCATTGGAAAGAGTACATGGGCATAACAGGAACGTGGAAATAGCTGCAGGCTGCTTCATTAACCATTTGGGATTAAGAATGGTATTGTTGTTAGATGTTTCTTGATGTATAAAGGGGTGCAAGGATTCCGTTTCATTGTTCCCATCTGACAGATACTGTTGTTGCGTTGTTTGATGAGCCTTTTCTAATCTGTGTTACCTCTATATATTCTGTAGTTATCACCAATTTCTTTGTATTCTTACTATGATTTTAGAGATATTCATAGTTTAACTAATCATTTATTTCTGCAGATTCCTGAACTGGATTTTGAGATTCCACCAGAGGCTCAACGCGGATCTTTGTCAACTGTATTCCCATTATCCTCTGCTAATGCTAATATTAAATTATGTACTGTCCATGGGATCAAGAGTTCTAGATATCTGTATGAATCACCTCTTCCAACTCTGTCTTTGCTAAATGTGAACAATTTGACTGGTTGAGTGGTGTTCTCTTTCTGTAAATGTGATGCACCAGAGATTCATATTTTGTTGCTATTGAATTTGTTTAGTGATATTTTCTCTCTCATATTTTTACTTGTTGTTATTGATAAATTTGAAATGCTAATACATCTGTTGATGGATTTTTTGTACAGTTTCATTTTATTTGTTATGCATCACAAGTAAAGAACTGATATCTGCAAATTCAATTATTGCAGTCAGTGAGATGTTTCCAACTAATTTAGCTACCTGAGATCCTGTCACCTTTATGATGTTAGGATGCATTAGTGATTGGTGTTTCTTTCTTTGTTGAATATGTTGTCTGACATATGATTTGTGAAGTCCTCCTGGATGATGGGATACTGCTCCTAGCATTAATCATGAGAGGGGAACATTTACTCCTGGATGCAAGAAATTGTCTAATATCTTCGATTCACAACTTTGCTGTTGTGCATCATGCTTTGTTTCTCATTTTTGTTGTCTCCCCATGACCATTTACTTTTTTGTGTGCTTGTATGCATGACAACAACATCCGATCTTAAGTTACTGCATATAATTAATGAAGAATTCAGGAACCAACTAGGAACTTGATTAACTAGTACAAATGGTTTCTATGTGGATAACTTGTTGAATTTCTAGGTAGTGGGTACACTATGTATCAATTAAAATAGAACCATCTTACTTTACTCCCCGTCTCTCTTTACTTTCTGAGTCAAGGTATTTATTTCTTATGGTTTTCTTCTTCACATGGTCTGTTTAATTTGGAGGTAATCTTGTCTCTGCTCTCTGACTCATAGGTTGAAGGAATATTGGTAAGAGCTGCTGATGAGTTAGAGGCCCTTCAAGATGAAAGAAAGGTGCATATTAATTTAAATTCATTAGTTATTTTATCTTCTTTACCTTTGTTGATATGCATCACATTTCGTATTCTGCATTCCAGAAAGTGGATCCTAAAACTGCTGAAGCAATCGACTTATTTTTGCAAAAACTGAGGGCTTATGCAAAAGGAGAATCTTCCTTTACTTTCATTCTTGATGATCCTGCGGGCAATAGCTTCATTGAGAATCCGTAAGTGACCATCATTTCAAAAGTTAATTCTATAAAACCTATAATATCATATATATATGCGCTGTGTCTTTTGATGGTGAAAATAGGATAATACTTTATTAATGGAGACAATGTCTTTAACCCCCCCCCCCTTTCTGCGGTTGACCTCCAGTAATACAAGAAATGTCCTTATAAGCTGACATTACCATCTGATTTTCTAACACAGATTCCAATAATTTTTCTTCTATCATGTATATTTGTGTTAAGGTTGGTTTCATGTGGTTCTCACTTTTGTCAATGCTGGGCCCTTAAAATATCAAGATAGGGCTACTTATTTCAATTCAACAGATGTGCTCTAATTATTCTTTAATTTAAAGCGCCAATTGCAATCTGTGATAGGTATGCTCCTTCTCCCAATCCATTATTGACTATTAAGTTCTATGAACGGACTCCTGAGCAACAAGCATCTCTGGGGTACCTTGTTGACCCATCAAAGATGGGTGACGTTGGTGATGAAACATCTTCAGAGGAAAACAGACATAACTCTGATCAATCAAGTAGAGAACCTCATGGATCTATTGGAGCTCCTGCTGGTCATCGGGCTATTGCTCAAGGTAATAGTACAGAAATTGCTGAAGCTTTGTTCCGGTACTCTGCCCCTGAAGAGGTACATTATCTTTTGCTATCTTTTTTAAAGTTCTTTGTGTTTCTCTTTTTACAGAAATTGCTATCATTTTATGTATGCCTACTCTTTTCTCGTCTTCTCCCTTTCATTTTTTGGTGGAAATATTGAGTTTTTGTTGGTGCAAAACTATTAAAGAATTCCTTATGGATAATGCACACTTCAGTTTTACAGTTCAGTTTTCTGTTGCTTTGAGAACAAGGAATCTTACATTTGCATATTTTGCACTAACACAACCCCGCCCCCCTTCCCCCTGGGTACAGGTGATGACTTTCCCATCAACATGTGGAGCTTGTGCTGCTAGATGTGAGACTCGAATGTTTGTCACCAGTATCCTTATTTCATCATCTCTCACTGCTATGTGACATGGCACTGCTGATTCAGTTAATATGCAACTGACAAGACAAACAATTTTCATTTGCACTGTCTTCAAAATTGCTATTCTGGTAGGAGGTCCGGGGAATTTGGAGGAAAAGAAATGAAATGTGAAACTACATTTCCTTCCTGTCTGTGGCTACATATAACAAAGTTTAAAGGCTACAACCAAAGGATGATGTGTTATTTCACATTTACAGAAGTTGAGATGAGTTTTGTGCACAGTTATATGGCAAATTCTGATTAATGGAGATGCTAATGGGGAGATGCATATCCGATATCACAGCTTAGTTTCTCTCTCGAATGCTGATACATAATACATTTGTGCCCAATAGATGCTTTAGCGGGAGACCTCATTAAGTACTGCTTTGTCCTTTTTTAAAAGCTACAATCATGCATGCATACTTGACAATTTATGTTGATGATTATTTTCTGGTGATAAATTATGCATGTGTACTTAACAATTTCCAGAGATTCCATATTTCCAAGAAGTTATTGTTATGGCATCTACCTGTGATGCTTGTGGATACCGCAATTCTGAGGTTTGTTTGTGCACAAGCATGAAATATATACACTTTAATGTTTGTTAATGTTTTTCTATAAATATGTTTTGATGATGTATGCTTTTCCTTTATAGTTAAAACCTGGTGGCCGAATTCCTGAAAAAGGAAAGAAAATTACATTACATGTGAAGAACATAAATGATTTAAGCCGTGATGTGATAAAGGTATGCCATCTTTTGCCATCTTTCAATTGTAAATGAGTTTTGTTAATCTCTGACTTATTATTTCTTTCCTCCACAAATTGATAGCGGTGTGTTTTCAGTTGCAAGTTGTTAAATTGTTTTATTCTACTTAAAAGCATGGACAGTATAAGATATGTTGTTTGTGAAGTAGTTACTTGAATATCCCTTGCAAGATATATAGCACTGGGATGTGAACAATATTTATTTTATTTGTTTTAAGCATAAAATCAAACATTGTCCAAACAATTGATGCATGGCAGCAAATTTGAAGGCATGGTAGCTAGAAACACCAAATATTGTTACAGGAAAAACCCTGATAAGAACTAATTGATTGAAATGAAGAAATGCAAATTAATTTTAAGAAGAATCAAAGCAAGACTCTCACAAGGGATTTCTTAGAATTCCCAATCCTTTTAGAGTAGATGACTCTCCAATACAAGATTAATTCATATTTGAAAAACGACTTTCTAAACTTCCTAATCTATTTGTGTGCTAGTAACTGCTATTAACTTGCTGGAACTGTTTATTGTTTGTTGGATTTAACTGCTTCCTCTTTCTTACATTTATATTTAGGGCCTTTTATCAATGCACCCCTGGAAATTCGCCTTGTCCTCAAGGCGGAAAGAAGGGAATTGTTCTTCCTCTGGACATGGACATCTTCCCTTGTTCTGATTACAGAATGTCTGATTTCTGTCCACCGTGTGTCCACTTCTTCTTCTTCTGGCTGTGATATCTTATCTTTGTCTTGATCTTGTTTTCGCTATTTTTTTCCCTTGATCATGCATTCTATGGCTCAATTCTGGTTGCTGTTCATTTTTAGCCTGATCTTTGAGGATAGCAACTTCTACAGATAATGAATCTAAGGTTTATAATTTAGATGAAATAGTGGCTAATTGTTGTAAGGTGGTATCAGGAATAGGGTTAGGATCTTCATTTTGGGAAGTGCTGGATCTGATGTTAACCATGATGGATTCACTGCTCTGACACCAGAATGATAAGAACTGATTGATTGAAATGAAGAAAATACAAATTAATTCTAAGAAGAATCAGAGAAAGAATCTCACAATGATTTCTTAGAATTCCTAGTCATTTTATGGTGGACGAGTCTCCAATACAACATTAATTCATATCTGGAAAACTACGTTTTAAGAAGAATCATAGCAAGAATCTCACAGTGATTTCTTAGAATTCCTAGTCCTTTTACAATGGATGATTCTTCAACATAAGATTAATTCGGATCTGAAAAAACTACTTTCTAACATAACTTCCTAATTTATTTATATGCTTCTGTATGTAATTATAGCCTTTTATCAAACCCAGATTGAAAAGAGATGTAGTCACTCATTTCACTTGGTATTGTTACTATTCTCAGGTCTTCTTTTAAGATTCTGGTGTATAGGTAAAATTAGCTTGCTAATGGATTGTCTAGAGGGGTTTGGCAAAGGCCACAAAACTAAATATCTTGTTCCAAGAGCTGTTGAGATCTGTGGAAAGAATGAAATCAGAGTAATATTTGAAGGGTTTGTGGTCTCAAGTAAACTTTACGGGAAATGTCCTATTTAGCATCTTTATCTGCGTGTCACAAAGCATTCTTCTTTAATGCAAGGAACATATGATATATAACAAATATAACACTGATCATTAAATCTGATATAGTTTTAGAAGACATCTCACCGAATGCTTACTCCTCTCAGAAAACCCCCTTAAAATGTAGCTTAGAGAACTTATAATTGAAAAATAATGAATATTAATTTTGAAACTTTACAAACACCTTCCAGAGCATATATGAGACTTTTCAGTGTGCTTTGTGCTGTGCAGTGAATTTCTTAGAACATGTAACATTCTTGAGAATGTAATCCATGCTATGACATGTTTGTATCTCTTTAAGAAGGCAAAAAAAATATATTACATTAAAGAACATTAAAATATATATGTAATGCGTACGGAATACTTGTTTCCACCTTTTTAATGATCATCTTGCACATTAACAAGTAGAACAGTCCCTATGGGTAGACCTGTAATGTGTATAAATAATTTATATTTCATTCATAAATAGTTGTATTGCATATCTCTCCTGTAATCAGTGTTCATTTTTTACGAGATTTTTCCTTGCATGTCTGTGTAAGATAATATTTACAAGGATATAATCTCTTAACTCATTAAACTTTAGGACTCAAATTAAATCTCATCTTGGGTCATACAACGAATGAATTCTGTATGTCTGCGTGCTTTTGGCAGTACAAATGCCCCCTATTAGTGCAATGTTATTTTCCTAGGATTGTAGTTCACTTGGTTAGAGCACTGCCTTGTCAAGGTGGAGCCCCATCACTCCTAATGGCCTTTATATGTGTTGTAATTATAAGAACTCTCTTAATTCTTGTTTCTTTGTAATGAAATTCTATAAATATATGAGTCCCAATTTTTTTTCAATATATATGAATTACTAGATTTATAAGATAAAAGATTTGTGGAATATATTGTTTTCATATCACATGTAGCTTAAACCTTTGAAAGTTTGTTGGATGGTTGTCTTCTTGGTCTGTGTAAGTTAACGGTTCTTTTTTGGGGGGTGCTTTATAAGGATGCCTTCATAAAACTGATGGTGGGTAACTAGGATCTCCATTATGATTAAGTAAAAATTAGATGAGTGGCACCCACTATTATTGCTATCTATAAAGCTAAGGCATCTGCTGACAAACAATCATTTGATGTGGTACCAGTCGGACACAGCTGGAGTGAAAGTTCCAGAGCTTGATTTGGAACTAGCCAGTGGAACATTGGGTGGAATTGTGACAACTGTTGAAGGCTTGATCGCCAAAATTAGTGAAAGTGAGTAAATTTCCAGAACCTTCTTTTGTCTTTTTTTAAATTTTATTCCATCTATAGGCTGAAGATTTTCTTGGCTATTTTTCATCAATGAATTTGAAAAAAATTATTTTTCATTTTTTTTAATAAAAAATTTTTGGTTTCTGCTGATGTTGCATTCTCACTTTCAAAGATAGCATGGATTAACCAACTGTTAAAGTGTCAATATCAAATACGATTATTGCAATTAAGCTGAGTTGATTTGGAATTTTGTTTTCCTATATTAGTTTGAAATTTAAAAAAAAAATTATAAAAGATGAGAAAATGAATGCTTAGATTGGAAAAGATATGAGGGCTAAGAAGGTTAAGATCCATAATCTGCATCTCTTTTGCAAACAAAAGGCACCATTTCTTGAGACCGGAATTGCTAATAGAATGCAAAAACATGATTTTAATGGGCCAAGGCTTTTTATATAATTTTCTTCCATGTAACTCAAGAGTCTGAATCAAGTGAAAGAGTAAATAAGAAAATGACTTTTAATGTGAGGTGATCCAGTATGGTTGTATTTTTATTGTGGCTCTTGGCCCTTTGTAAATATAAGTAGGTTCTCAATATTGGTTAATAAAGTAGTTCAAATCCCTATAATTTTGACAGTTTACAACTAAGGAATTAGATTAAATTAAACTAGTTCACAATCTCATGGTTTTGACAGTTGAGTCTGTAATGTTTAAGTGAGGAATTAAATAAGTTTGTGACAAGTAACTTACATTAGTTTATAACATGTAACTAATGACTGAAATGTGTTTAGTGGTGCAAAACAATATTGCATTCAATGGAAACTAATTGTATGAGGGTGAAATGATCATGTTTTTATTTATATTGGAAAAATTCAATTGTTTATTTTGTAAGTTTAAATATATTCATTGGTTTAGATGATTTTATGATAATATAGGCAAACAAAGTCCCTTTATGGCCATGTGATTCTCATATGCACATAAAAATAGACGTGTTAATTTGTTTCTATTATTTTTAATTTTAATTAAGAGAAATTGCATGATATATTGTTTTCACACTAGGTATGCATTAATTAATTAATTAAATTTTCAAAAAATTTCTTAAGTTAGACCTTACAAATGCCAAAATGGAAACAAAAATTCTAATTATATTTAAATTTTCTATACTAAAATAAAAATATAGATGCTGTACAAATATTTGGTTATCTGCCGTTTTCACTTATTTTGGATTGTGAAAAAAATGATTTAGTTTTGGTAAGCCATTAGGATCTCTGCTTTCTAAGGACTATGGAAAGCAGTTTCCCTGTATTGTAGAGAGGTTGATTATGTGATTGGGACATGTAACCTTTAGTCACAAGGGAGGGAACCTGAATACTTTACCATTGATACAAGGATCACCCTCCGTATTTTACAGTAACCAAAAATTATGCATTACTAAGTTTTCATTTTTGTTCATGTTAAATTGGTTTTTTAGTATTAGGATTTTCCGATAATTTTCCTTTGGAAAAACTAATTTATTAATTCAAAAAATGAAATTTACAGAATTATCCTTCTATATTACTTGTAAAGCATTCAAAATGAGAAGAGTGAGATATAGAAAAATGTGGAAATATACTTTTCTAAACTTCAGATTATAATACTATTTTTCCTTTGAAAAACAAAACTATTTCTCTAGATATTGTGCTTTCTTTGGCCCTTTTCCATTATAATGTTCTATTTATCTCTATCTAATTTTAGGCCATTTGTTTGGTTCTGTTATTATTGTTGTAATTTCTAGTTGCCATGTTAGGATTTTGTTACTGTGGTGTGGTCCTGTCATCATGCTGATAGCTGTGATTGTTGTGCCATTTCCAATAATTTTTGTTGCCCACGTTTATTTTTCTAATGAATGTCATGAAATAAAACATTGACTTTTTTGTGTACTATTGTTGTTGGGTGGTAAGTTTTCATTTTCTTTCTGGATTTTACATTATGGACATAATAGATAGTAATAGATAAAATATATAAACTATATTTTCATTCCCTAGGTTGTGTTACTTTCTGAAGTTTGCTGTCTTTATTTGTCCCTACTGTCTTATAAGGCAAGACATTCATCACCATGTCCATGCTTGTCAAAATAAATTGTTGTGTTATGTAGGGGTTGGATGTAACCACAATGAATTATGGAGTTATTAGAACCATTATTCCAGTGTAATTGATTGGTAGTACATTATAGATCAAAGGTTCATGTGGTGCAAATGTCACACAGCTAGTCTATCAAGAGTTGCCCATATAACATAAAAATGAAGCTAGGCCTCTTGTATAAAATAACAATATCAATATAGTATTGGAGAAAATATTTGCTGGCCGACTCAGTAGTGGTATGCATTTAGATCATATGAATATGAATTCTTGCCTGTCAAACTTGAAATAGATAGTATAATATTCTAAACATTGGAATATATATCTCAGCATATTTATTTCTGTTTGCCCATTTTAGCTTGAATTCTTTTTGCCTGTTCCAGTTATATATATAAACATTCAACTCTTATCAAACTGTATAGCTTATGGGATGATCAATTGTGCAGATCTTGAAAGAGTACATGGATTTACATTTGGTGATAGTCTTGATGAGGCTAAGAGGAGCAGGTGGCAGGACTTCAGAGGAAAATTGGACAAGGTATTACTTCTCAGATTCGACTTACAAACTATTCAAACTATTAGCCATCACATAAAGAGCAGGGTGTTTATGGGAGTGGGGTTGAGAGGAAGGCATTGACCCTGCAGTTTGTCACCTTTGCTGGGCCTTTTGAACTTCTGTACTGGATAGATGCTAGATTATTTTTACTGCCAAACCAAGGAGGGAATTTTGTTTGCAAATTTATGCTAAGATCAATCATCCAGGAGGTTATTGGAAAGGGAGATAATAAAAGAAGAGTAAGAGATGGTAAAATTGAGGAGGAGCATGAAGCGTATCAACATTACTGAGTTAATAGATTAACTGTATGTTTTATATATATATATTATATATATATATATATGCTCCTAGATTGTTACAATTTTGAGATGCTCTTTAACCTGTCAAAGCTTAGTAGATAAATTTTTTAATTGATCCACATATCATAAGGAGGGCCTCAAAATAGAAGGGGAATGATGAAGCATATGGTAATCAATTTTAATATGCTTGATTCATCCATAAAGCATTGTGCTAGAAGTAGCTTCTATTTAACAGGTGGATCAACTGAATTGATTTACTAGTGGCATGAACCATGGCATGATCATGACCACTACTGTCACCGCAACATCCCCAGCCATAAGATGTTGAAAAAGAATTGATGAACATTATTCATGGGAACATCTTTTCAAATACACAGATGTTTTGCAACACTATTCATGTGCATTGTTCATCTATTATTCATATGGCTTTATTGACTTTTCTTTTCTTTTTGTTTCTTTGGGTTGTGATCATGTTTGTGTTTGTGGAAGCTTTTAGGGTTTAAGTTGGGGCAACTAGGTTGATGGCCCTGATAGCACGGGTTAGCACAAATGCATATAATAGAGTGGTGAATTGGTTTTATCAAACTTTTTGACAAAGTAATTTGAGTTTGAAAAGGTTCTTTCCTAAAATCGTCTTAAGTATCATCGCCTAGGAATGAAATGTAATCAACTTTCAATACAACTAAACTAGACTGGAAACTAAGGCCAATGATCTCGTACACTAACCACTCCTGTCATCCAAGAGTTACTCAAAGCTTCTGATTGACTTTCAAGCCTTCTGTGTGCATGAACTAGATAAACATATTAATCATTTAAATTCAATTATTTGTTATCGTCCAAAGTCAATAAGTTTGATACCAAGAAAGAAATAAAGAAGAATTGGGAATACTATGGAGATACAAATGTGAAGTGGTAGCCTCTCTTACACATAAAGAGTGGAATAGTCTTTGGTCTGTAGCCTACTAACTCAACAATCTTAATACTTTTACTGGTGTCATGCACTTGTTCTGACACTCGCCAACATTTGTTTACTAGGGCATGGCAAGATAAATTTTGTTTTGAATTTTCATGGTGCCACTTATTTTCAAAATTTTTTTTCCAAGACTGCGCAGAGTTGGAACAAGAAAACATAATAATGATCACAATCCAATGCACATACTTAAACAAAATACTCATTCATAAATATTTCAGTGTACAAATGCTAACTAATTTTTAATTTGTAGTCCTCATTGGTTGTTGAGGATTGCATTTGAGATGCATCTCCATATCAGATACTTCATTTGAACAAGTCCATGGAAAGTGAAATTGCTGATATTCCAATTTAATCAATGCCACACTTATGAGAGTTTTCAATAAAATGTGTTGTTCAAATATATGATTATTTGATTGCCTGATTGAGATATTTACAGCTGCTTAGCCTGGAAGAGCCTTGGACTTTGATTATTGATGATTCCCTGGCAAATTCTTTCATTGCACCTGCAACTGATGACATTAAAGATGACAATCAGTTAAAGTGTAAGTTCTTCACAGTAGTGAGATCTTTGGCATACTTTCATTTATGTATTCTGCAAGCTCTTTTAGTGTTATCTTTTACTTTTATATTTTGTTCCAATTTTATGTCATATCATATGACTGATAATAAATATGTTTATAAAGAATATTCCATATTGTATATAAAATTGCAGTTTGTCTTTTCATAACCTATTTGAATGCAGGACATGTTTAAATTTGTGCTTCTTATCTTGAAAATAACTTCTTGCTCAAATGTGCTGGGATACTGTCACTTGGTAGCCTACTTGAAATACTCTGTAAATCATGTACGGGAATGAACTGATTTTGTTCTCTTTTTTGTTTTTTGTTCTTTTCTTCCTAAGTTCTTTAGTGGATCTATTAGTAGACATGGTAGGAATATGCATGTAGACTGAAAGAACTAGGAACCATGAGATGGGTTTTCCTCCCTACTAAGTTATTTTAGTTAAAACTATGATTAAATGCTTGTGTTTGTTTATATTGGTCTAATTGATGTAATTTTGGCAATTACACAGTTGAGGAGTACGAGAGGTCTTGGGAGCAGAATGAGGAGTTGGGCTTGAATGATATTGACACCAGTTCAGCTGACGTTGTTTATGAATCAACTGATGCTAGGTAAAGGAGAGAACAACGGAGTAACTCGTGTTACTGCTTGTCGATCATGCCTCATTGATCTTTTTGAGTAATTTCCCAAATGCATTACGGCCCATATTTATATCTCTGTTTTTTTTTTTTTTTTCCCCATTTTTCTTTTCCGTTTTAGTTATATGTTAACTTAATGCCTTAAGTTGATTTATATTCACACCACTCACAGAAACTTGCCAGAGAAACAGACTTGTTATTATGTATGTTTCCAAAGGGGCTTTAGCTAAATGGTGGCATCCAACAATATATTATCCACAGAAACTTCTTTTTTTGTTCTTGTGTGTGTGAAGAATTATCTATAGAAACTTGATTGGCTTAAGTAAAAGTGCGTCTGTACCCCGCAAAGGTCTTCTCTTTGCCATAGACCAGGGTCGTCGTGAAATGCATGTAGTGTTATTCTATGCGTGTGAATAGCTTGCTCTTCATAGGGCTTGAAGTCTGAATCAATGAAATTTCGTTCTAGTGTAGTTCAATAAAGGAAGCCGTGTAGCAGAAGTTCAATCCAAAATATGTGCAACTATCATTACTTTTTATTATTATTATTTAAACGGTAATAAAGGGTTACACGGTTTAGGTAGATTTCACGAGAGAGGTGATACACGAGGTAGGTAGATGAGGAGTTGAAGACGAAGTCAATTGGTAATCTTTTTCCCATCATTCACAACTAAACATACAAATCAATCAGTTTAGTTACCACTCGCAAGTCGCAATTGAAAAGAAAGGGGTTCACGAGCGCGTGACTATTTGGTCAAAGTCGGGCTGCCCAGAACGTAGTTCTGTTTGACTTTTCGGGCTTGTCTTGAGTAGGGGTACAAATAGGAGCTAAAAGCTTTTTTCTTTTGTTGCGTTCGACGATGCACTAGAATGAAAAACAATTTCAGTAATTGATACTGTTTTCCTAGTTACGAAACGGGAAACTGGGGCTTGCTGGGGGATTAAAAAAAAAAACAGAAACTTGTTTAACCAAGGGCACGATGTGTACCTTGGAGTCAGTCAAAGGATAAAAAGAATCAAGAGCAGGGTTGGTGAAATGGTAAGAGACCAAGATCAATTACTGCTCTGTACTTGGCCTTCAATTACAATTACTTTTACTTCACGCAGCCACAGCGGACAGCAGCTGAAAGTAACACGTTGGTTGTTAATGGGTTTGATTCGGGGCGAATTATAGTACATTTAAATTTGAATTTAAATTTAATTTAAAATTTTATAATATATATATTTAGTATTATTGTATTTGAATTTAAATATTTAAAATAATAATTTAAATTTAAAATTTTAAATTATCATATTTGTATTATTTTAAATTTTTTAAAAATAATTTAAAACTAAAATAAGAAATTTTATGAAAATATGAATTAATAAATAATTTTAAAATTTAAAATTTTTAATATAATATAATTAAATTTAATCCATTACAAATATTGTATATCAGATTGATTTTCTAGTAATATATAATAATTACATTTAATCCATCAATATATATATTTTTAATTTTCATTTTTATAAAAAAATGTGTTTCTAATTTTTATTTTAAGAAAAAATAATTTATTAATTAAGATTTGATAAATCAAGTTTATATTATGATATATATAATATTATATCATATTATAATCATATATAGTGTATATATTTTATGTGTGTACTTGTATATATTCAGATTCTAATTTTTAACTACTCGAATAAGATAAATTCATATTAATTCAATTTATTTTGAATTATGAATTTTTATCAAATTATATTTATAAATTTTTTATCAATTAAAAATCCTTAATAATTAAATCAAATGGAGATTAAAATCTGCCCTAGAACATGATATTTTTTCTATCGTTCTTTTTAATTTTAACTAATCAGCTTATTTTATTGCAAAAATTAGTACTTGGAGATGAAATTGAGAATTCCCAGGTAGGCAGGGAAACACTAGCGTAATTCATCCAACTACTAACCCTTCTTCTTGAGGCAAAGATAGATGGTTCATTAGACCCAAGTACACAAACCGAGCTTTTGAGCTTAAGGCCACGATGCTTTTATGGCTATTTTGCACAAAGTCCTCAATTTTTCACATTTTTACAAGTCCAAAAATCAAGTTATCAAATGTTCCCAAAAAAAAAAAAAGTTATTAAAAAGGGTTGTAGATGCAAACTTTTAGAATTTTTGATAGTTTAACACTTACGGGGAATTAGAAATTTTCATTAGGCAGTTTCTAAAGTGGGAAACACGAGATTTCAATGGAGTTGGCGTTTCCATCGGGCAATTTCTAGGTGGGAAATGAGCTTCGTACTTGGTGAGAATTGCAAAAATTCAAATTGAAGGGGCGCATGAGTAGAACAATAAAGACTTCAGGGTCCACCAAGAAAGGGACCAAACAAACGCGCATCAGTGGACGATCAATACAAACCCACCATCTCTCCCTTTTTCACATTTACTATCATTTCCAAAATTCAATTCTTGTTAGTGCAGCTACCACGCCATACGATTTGGGTTGTTAGCCTTATGCATTCATATCTCCTTGATATTTTTCTAGGATTTTTTTTTTATTTTTGTGGAAATATAAAAAAAAAAACCCAATAAATTTTAGAAAAAAAAATAAACGAGTCAACAAAGAAATTGCAAGGGCTTTTACGGGATTCTTTATTTTCTTTCTTTCTTTTTTTTTTTTGTTCCACACTCTTTTATCTTAGCCTAAAACGAGGGTCTTTTTTTTTCTGGGCAATAAAAAAAGGAAAGAAAATAAAAACTCTTGTTCTTGTGATTTTTCATGTCTATTTTTATAAATAAAATTTTGTTTTCGATCCAACTTTGTTACATCATTCTTTCTTTAATATTTTCCTTTCCTTTTCCTTTTCATAGAAATTTCAGACTCCAAATGCACCATCTTAGATTTTTGTTTTGACAGCCAAACATTTATATTCATTGAAATATTTTTTGTTTGGATGGACCATGTTTAGGGCAAGATTTTGACGTGGAATCAAATTTATAGAAAATTTGTTTGCTGGACTCATTATTCAAATCACATAACCAGAGGTATTTACTCTAAAATTTTAAATTTTCAAGTTATTTTTGAAATGTACAATTTTATTTTCTCAGTCATCATCGTTATTCAAGACTTTGACAATTAGCCACCATGCAACCCTGTTAACGTCATCCAGTTCGTTAGACCACCACTACCACCTTTGTCTAGTGGTGGTGTGCTGGTCTAGTTGCTATCAGTCATTGTTAACTACCACCGCCAACCACCAAAAACATAAAATTCAAATAATTTTTTACAAAATAAATATTGTTATACAAACAATTTTTAAGAGATCACGTAACTAAAAAATTTTTAACTCAAAATATAACAAAATTTAATTCACAGCCAAATTCTCCCTGTCAACATCCAAATGAGCATAAAGATCGACCACATCCTCGAAGAACACACGCAATGCAATCTTGGCTACACCCACAATAAAATTCAACATTTTTAAATAATATTTACAATACAAAAAATTTTTTTACCCAAAAACTAAATTATAATTTCTACAAAAAAAATGTATTCATTGACGTGCATCTTGCATTACCTACCCCTTGACCTGTGCTTTCATGACTTGGTTTTTTTTTTCAAAATATTTTGTCAATAAATGCATAGAGAAGTACAAGTTAGGTAAGGGTAAAATTATTAGATAAATTTATTATTACTTTTATGTACTTTTTATATCTTTTATATCTGATATGACCAATAATTAATTGAATTAAAACATAAATAAGATAAATTATTTCATAAATTTTGATTAAATTATATGAGAAGTAAAATAAATTTTTCTGGGTTTATTCGAATTTTAAATTTTATTTATTGACTATGTTATTTCCCCTGTTAACCGAATAAATTACCAAAATATATCTTCCCCTCCATCTCCGTCCTTCCCATCGGCTGCACCTCCCCTCGGTCCTTTTCATCGGCACCGCCACCCTTGACCCCTCCGCTCCGTCGTTGCTTTTGCACAAAGGGCCATCTGGATTTTGGTAAAAAGAAAATTGAATTTAATAATCTGATGGGATAGGATTAAACGTTTAGATCAGTTAAAAAAAATATCAAATGGAACAATAAATCTACTGAAAAAATGTTAAAAAATAGACATCCATAATCCCATTTAATTATATGTACACATATGTATGCATGTAGAGAGAGAGAGAGAGAGAGAGAGAGAGAGAGGATTTTTTTTTCCAATTATATGATTATCATCAGATAACAATGGCATGGAATGTGGTGATTGTCTTGTTGCCAAAAGTCAAATAAGGTGAACTAGGATTAGTTAATTCTGCATCATTAAAATAATGTAATACCTGGTTGTTTTGTGTTTCACTAAAAATCTTTGCTTAAGAAGTCCAAAAAAGCGACCGTCGCCAAAAGTGACGGATTAAAAATATTTAAGCAGGCAATTTTTCATTTGGATTGACCTTGACTTTCACTGGTCCCTGGAGTCAAATATTGATTTTTAATTTTTCAGTGCTTGAAACAAGCATGGCTTTTTGGGCTTTCACATTAAAAAGCCCAAATGTTTTGACTTTCCTGGCCTTCTCTTTCTTTTTTTCTTTTCTTTTTCTTTTTTATCTAACTACTCGATAATATGAGAAAAACATTGCCAAGATAAATGCTCTCTGGGAAGACAAAAATGGCAACTCTCTCTCTCTCTCTCTCTGTATGTGTGTGTGTGTGTGTTTCAGAATTTAAGATGAAGGTACGCCCGCCTGGGACCTTTTCAAAGACTATCTTGTTTGGTCCTAATCAATCTTTAAAATTGGAATAAAAATAATTTTTCTAGTTATAATAAAAATTAAAGAAGTGTATATATATATATATATAATTTTAATTGGTTGGTATTATCTAGCAATTAGTTAGGTTCTTATTTAATATCTACAAAGGTAGATGTATCATAATAAGGATGAATAAACATAATTTATTTATTTTTATTTACATTCAGTAGATTAGATAGA